TTTGCAGCATTCAAATCGAACGCTATCGCTGCCCCTCAGTCTTTTTTGCTACTCAGCGGGTGTGAGTACAGTGACTTCCGCCTGCTGTGATGTCATGCGCATACCCTTCGCAGTACGAGGAGCGTAAGATAAGACGTGACGATCTGGGAGTATTTTACGCTTTTGACAGAAACCAGTAGCACAGCGATTTGCAATCTATGTAAAATAAAGTTTTGAGGTGGGAACAGCGTTTAATGGACAATCCCGTTTAACAAAGCGCATGCAACTGCGAGACAAAACAAGGCAATGGATGATCTGGGAGTCGCTAACCTGGACTGTCTTGCGGACTCGCTGCAGCTTGTGATATAAGAGGGGCTGCCATTGTAACAAAGTGTAACTGCACTGACGCTAATGGGAGAAAAACTGTTAAAATTTTAAGCATTCGCCACTTGTGAATACTTGCTTTGAAGATATTCATACTGAACTTAAAATTCCTCAAAAATGCTTAAAACAAACGAGGTGGAATAGTACGTTATGTATGTTTGTAGTAGCCTAATTAATCTGTATTTTCTAGCTTAAAAAAATTAATATATAAAGTATAACAAAGTAAAAAGAGCTCTTGTATCGGAATCTGTATTGGAATCGGCAGTTGTATATCGAAATCGTATCGGAACTGAAAAAATGTGGATCGCCCATCTCTACAAATTACCGCCAGTGTTGTTCATTTTGGTTATCAAACTGCAAGTATTTCTAATAAAAAATTTTCATAACATTGAAAACTTTGAAATGCACCCCCACTGCTCCTGATGATGCTCACAGCCTCTGATGATGGAGCTAAATGATCACGTCACAACATTGACCTCTTTAGCCAGAGACTGTGTTCTTTCAAACCATATCATTGCTGTCCGATGGCAATTGCGATCGTTCACTTTTAAAAAATTGTGACTTTTTGCCTTAGATGGAATATGGTCATTTCTCTTCTGCCCGCTGATAGCGTTTGACATCTAAATGACCAATGAGAAGATGCTGTATGAAGTCATCTATTTCACTAATATTTATTTGTACTAGTTAACATTTGTATTTATTAACACTGAGAGCTGTACAGTGATACTGTATTACTCCTTGATGCTGTGCACTCACGGATTTCCTCCCGAGATCAATAGTTTATTAACTGTTATTTTAAATGCACCAAAACTGGCTAAATACCCTGTAAAATGAAACTTTCGCTGAAGCCCCCGCGCCTCTCCCCCTCCGCAGGCGTGCTGGCCATCCTGATCCCGGAGCTCGACCTGGTCATCTCTCTGGTAGGATCCGTCAGCAGCAGCTTCCTGGCTCTCATCTTCCCACCCGTGCTGCAGATCTTCACCTACCACAACGAGGGCCTCCCCGCCTGGGTCGTGGCCAAGAACGGCCTGATCACCCTCTTCGGCCTGGTGGGCTTTGTGGCTGGGACCTACATCACCATCGAGGAGATCGTCATCCGTAACGGGAGCCGGTCCAACTCCACCGTGCTGCACTATCCCTGAGGGCGTGGCTGTGCTGGGCTGTGCTGTGCTGTGCTGGGCTGTGCACACGCCACTTTCACACATGTACGACAGCCATCTCCATCAGCGGCAGCTGGATTTCAGTCAATGCTGTTTTTTGTGCACTTGTCTCAATTTTTGTTTCTTAATTTGCCAAAAAAAAAGAAGAAATCCGGTGACGTTTATTATGGGGAAATTATAGTGGACTTTCTGTTGACTGGCACTTTCAGCATCTCCACTCTGTATGAAAAAAAAGATTAAAATGTGGTTGTGCTTGGTTTTTAATGTCGAGACTGATTTTATTAGAGATGAATATAGATGCAGGTGTCCATGTTGGACAGCCTTGGTCTGGTGGTCTAACAGAAACCCCAGCCAGGATAAAGAGTAACACCTTTGGCTCTGCCACGTCACAGACTTGTCATGATGTCTCCTAGCAACCACTATACGCTTATAACAGGTACTGTACTGTACATGACCTTCAGAACTCAAGGTCAGCAGTTCAAGTCCCTGGTGTAACCTTCTGTGTGGCACTTAAGGGTAAAATCACTATAATGTTTTTTTTCCAGTAAAATATCGAGCTGTGTAAGTCCTGTTGACCACTTTGAATAGCAACTTCTGTTAGACCATTGAAAAAGTATCAGCTTTTATGAGAATAAAAGGGAAAAAAAAAATAGCTGGGTTGAGTAAAATATCTTTAAAATGGCATATTTGTCTGCAGTGATAACCTGGTGTCAATCACCTTCGAATTACAATGTGCACAGTGAGAAGACGCCATCAGCACAGATTGTGTCCCCAGGGCCCATCACATCATATATGCACTCTAGTCCCTGTCTCTCCATCGCCGCCCTTGAGGATGGATAAGAGACAGCAGGGAGGCAGTAGATTAGGACCAATTGACATCAGAGTGCAAAATAGCAAATTAATGGTGTTAACTGGATATTTGCTTCATCAACTGGATATCAGATATCAGGGTTTTCATGGAATTATTTTCAACATTTTAGAGTACCTTTATATTCAGTACTTAGTACTATTTCTCTAGTATTATAAGATGTATTAGGGTTAAATCCTGATGGGCTTGGTGTAACCTAAAAGATACGAAGTGGGGGATGTAGTTGTGGTGTTTCAGTGTTGCTAATGTGCTAATTTCATGTAGCAAATACGCCAAGTTTCCCGATGGTTTCGGCTGTATATATGTATGACCAGATTTAGTTCTTCAGCTCTATATAATTTGTGTACGACCACTTGGCTGAAACAGGAAAACCTTCTTCATCTTTATATATATAATTCATGGGCTTTTGCGTAAAGTAGACTGTAAATGTTCCCTCGTCTCCTATCTATGGTTCACCTACGCTGAATTATGCATCAGGTATCGGACTTGAAATGCTCAGTTCCATTTAACGTGTTGACAGGATCAACCTCTCGGTGATGTACATTTTGCACTTGATTATTTTTCTTTGCTGATTAGCAAGTTGATCACTTTCATGAGTTTATAAGTGTAATTATTTAGTCGCTATATTTTTGCAATTGCCATTAAGTTAAAAATTCATCTATTTTAATTTTTTTTTTTTAATTTATGTTGTATTTTTCTATATATCCATATATCTCAGAACCACTTAACCTGGAAAGGGTCTCGGGGATATTGTGTTGCTCTTTTATGTGAAATCTCTGTGCTTACACGGAAATTTGGATAGCATTGTTGACCATCCACTAATGCCAAGTGTTCGAACATTAGTCGGATAAGCATGTCTTCTCCCTGTTGCTTGCCTACACCAGCCACCAACCCGCTTGCATGGTTTCTGTACGCCACTGTCATCCTACTCTGTACGCCACAAAACGGGTCAAAAATAAGCACTATGTCGGCCGCTGATCCCTCACTCTTCCTCCCCCTCTTTATGCACATTTGGTGGAGCAAAAGTAGGAATCAAATACTGTAAATGTCTTTTTAATCTGTAAAAGAACAGATGAGGGACCAGTTGTTTGCTGACCATCACAATCTGCTTCATTGCACATTGAGAGATGCTTTGAGGATTTTGGTGCTGCGATATCTTCTGCTACAAGTTTTATGTTTCAGAAGAAATCCTCTAAATGAAATACTATTTTGATTGATGTGATGGAAAGTGTCCACACCTGTGTTTTAGTTTTTTTTAATTTTATTTGGCTGTGTTCTGTGTATGATTACTTTTGTTATTCCATAACACGTTTGTTTTTATTTACAATCAAAAATAAATTTCTTGGGGAAGAAAAGAGACGTTGAGCTTAAATTTTGCTGTATGTTAGCTTTTGTTTATGCTTGTCGGTGTTTCTGGGGTGGCTTAGCGGGTTTGGATGCTGTGCTTGTGATCAGAAGGTTACTTGTTCAAATCCCAGGTTTAGCAGAGTTTATATTTGGGCCCCTGAGCAAGGCCCTACACCCCAGGGTCTGTCTAACCCTGATTTTTTAATAATGTATGTTACGTTGCATAAAAGCTTCTGCTAAATAAATACAACGTAAATATCATCAAAAAAAAATACATAGCTCATTTTTCAGTTCTGCGTATACCACACCCAAGATAACGGCTGTCATTAAATGTCAGTTTATTTTTCAGCATGGCTCTGTGTGTATGGAGGAGAGTAGGCCTGCTTATTTGAGTAGGCCTGCTTATTTGAGTAGGCCTGCTTATTTGAGTAGGCCTGCCTATTTGAGTAGGCCTGCCTATTTGAGTAGGCCTGCTTATTTGAGTAGGCCTGCTTATTTGAGTAGGCCTGCTTATTTCGCAAGAGCACGCTACAAATGGGCCGCCTCTATGCAGACGGCAGCACAAATGTGGCAGTTGTTGACTTCATACTGTAATGGCACCAGGCTTCACCGTCTGAATGAGGACCAGGTGAGTCATGTGACATCAGAGCCCAGAAAACGGTTATGAATGGATGAACGTTTGTAGATACCCCTGAAGATGTCTCCTTAGATGGCAAAATAAAACCAAATAGTGGCTAAAAAGACATGACAAATACAAATAAATTAACTATTAAATTATAACTTACATAAATTATTATTAGATATATTTTTTTTAATTGGGTAGTACTGTTCAGAAAGTATATTGTTTATTCACGTGAATTTAAGTAGTATTCGCATGGCTCATGGACAAAAGGATTGACATTTGGCCATACAATACATTGTTTATATAGTATGTAACTCATTTGTAGACGGTACCAAAAGAGCCATACTACAAGCGAATCTGAAACTGCCAGGATGCCTCTGGACGGAGTATCGTTTTTGCGCAATGAAAATCTTTCATTGTGTTACTTGATGCTAAAGACGATCTAGTGTGGTAAGAAGAAAGGTCGTCGTTACTGGAGAGGAATTGCGGGTGGAACCAAGAGGCGAAGCAGGCTGGAGGTCAGAAGGAGAAGCTGTAAGTGTGGAGGCCAAATTGTCCTTATTGACCTTGAAGCCTATGATCCCCAGGATGAACTGGCCTCTCCCTATGCTTCGTGGGATAGGCTGCAGGTTCCTTGGAATTCAGTACATTGTTATTGAAAATCAACAGATGCTTGTTTTGTTGCTACTTTTTCCAGTTTCCGTTTGCTGTTACGTTTCAAGTCTGTTATTTGCCCAACAATGTGCTTCCACCGCCCACATCCCGATTAAATTGGACCTGTAATCAAACCTTCATCTCTTCAGCTTTTGTCGTGCTCAGCCTGTTGGCAAGAAAAATCTTGAAAGTATTAGTGAGTGATGAGGTGGCATCCAAATGAAGCCGACTCATTTAAAGGTCAGGCCTGTGACGATTACGCTAACTGAAGTCAGCTGGAATCAGATTTGAAAATCATTTAAAGATATGACTTTATTTACAATAATGAATGTGTCTTCTGGGAGTCAAATGAGCTAGACAAATACATTTTGATTGGCTATTTATTGCATTATCCACCACTAAAGATCTTAAGGTCATTTGAGCATTCATGCTTCATCAATTGTCCATAAAAAGCAACCTTTGGAATGAATGCAGAAGATACCCATCTCTCTAACCAAATTGTGATCAGAAATTGATTTCTGTCTAATTTCACTTAGTGACATTTTGGTAATACACAACGTGTGCATTCCCTTGATTTGATAGGGTCTACATCAATGTCACAAAAGGCTAATATATGACTTTTAAAAAGTGCAGTCATGTGAGAATTCAGGGAACTGCCGATCATTTTGGACCATGTGTCGTTCCGTCTGGCACTGAACTGATCAAACATTAGTAGGAAGATGTGCATATATTTTGGGACTTTTTGGGAGTTTTGGGGGTAACATTTGGGGAGTTATTCTTGCAGGGCTATGATTGATGAAGTAGCTCATTTTTAACTGGAAGACGGTCAGTTGGTGTCTGATGGTTCAGAAAAGCCAATCTGTCGACCATATCTCATTAACTAGTAGACCACACAACCTTTTTCTCTTGAATGCTGAAACTGAATAAAAATTCACATTTAGCTCTTAAGGCATTTTTTGAGCAGAAACCCCTGCCGGTGATTTAATAAAACAAAATGAGTCAAGAAAGCAGCGAGACCGCAGGTTAACATTCGAGCACCACCGAGTGGAAATATAATTCATGAATTTATATTGGAATAAATTTTAAAATGGGCTTCAGGTTTGGCTCTCAATCTATATGCGAACAAGTGCAAAGCATCTGGAAAGCAAAAAGTAGCCTTGAATTGGTTTGTTCTGGCATAAAAACAGGAACGCATACAGTATGTAGATCTAAAAAGACAGCAATCAGATGGCAGCAGTGCTATGACTGGGTTCTGGTCTGGGCATCAAGGTTTGGCTGTGATTAATGGAAGAAAAAGCATAAACATCTCCTGCTTGCATATCGACTGTAAACAAGAAACAGGTGAACTGTGTGACCTCACCCTGCCCTTTGACGGGAAGATAAGCGTAAGTACACATCTTGAAAGATTTAAATCGAATGTCACTCATGTCAGTGCCCCTCACAAACATAAAACTGCCCGGCGTGGATTAATGCATAGGCCACAGCCCAGGGCCCCAGCAAAATCAGGGGCCCCGTCTTGCCTTAGGAAACTTATAAATCTGGCCAATCAATATTCTATCAACTGCACCCTCCTCCACCCTAAACGGTCAGCAAATTTTACAGACAGCGCCCCGCACCCCAGATCACTGAATTCTACCACCGTGCTTATTAGCAGACCAGTGACGTTGTATTTAATTCTCTATCATTTCTCTTTCGGCTCTAAAAAATAGTTTGAGTGGCCTCCTGAGGGGGGGGAGGTTGGGGTTATTCTGCCCCTGTACCTGTTCCAGCCGGTGTCAGTCATGCCCAGGAGAGCATGTGACCTCCTGGACAATGAGGACAGCACATCCTCGCGTTTTCTCCATCTTAACAACGGCACAAGGCCTCAAGGTCTCTGAGTCTAAATGTTAAGTGTCTAAATGTTAAGTGTCTAAATGTTAAGTGTCTAAATGTTAAGTGTCTAAATGTTAAGTGTCTAATCTTTATCTGACTCAGCCGGGGACAAAAACCAGATGTGAAAAACAGCACCGCGGGGCCCATTCTGACACGTGTGCCTTCCGTCCTCATTCAGAGAACTTCACTGATGTATTTACTGTTCTCAACCTCGAGCCAAAGTACCCCGTGTTTCACTTGTGCCTTTGAGGACTCCATTTGAGGATCTCATCAGCCTTCCCCTTTCAACACGGAACCGAAGGAGCAGCAAAGGCAATTATGTGCAGTTCATAATTTCTCACATGAAAGCAGACAGCCTGCCACGAATTGAGGGCTAAGCAACGTGGAAACAGCCCCGTTTGAATGGCCAGGCTGAAGCCCATTGTTGCACTTTAATGGAAACGCAATGTTCATTTCTCTGGCCCACTTTCCTCCTTTAAGGCCTTGCCCATTTCCTCTGCTTACCGCTACCTCCCCAGTAAGGTTTGCCGCAACGCAAACGTGCTCCGCCGCTTCCGGTTTGATATTAAGCAAAATATGTCATTTAGAGGCAGCTCGTCTCTGAGCAGTCCACTTGCCAACATTTCCCTGCCAAAATGCCCTTCTGTTTCTGTAAACTTAACGAGTTGCAGAAATGTCGAGCAATTTTTCATTGGATGACTTGAGGATTGAGTGACGTTTGTTTCTCAAGACTGTAACGCATGATGAGGAAGCCTGACTTTCAGACGGGGTGAGTTTTGGAAATGTCCTCTTCAATCAATTAATTATTGACAGAGCTAATAGGCATTATTAGGGCCACGTCTGATGAAGTCAATGCTTGTTTATCTAACCTCCCAGCTGAACGGCATTAAAGGTATCACACCCATCATCAGAATCCCATACTCGACTGTTAATGCAGCACATCCTCTACAGGGCTTGGACAATGAAACTGAAACACCTGGTTTTAGATCACAATAATTTATTGGTATGGTGTAGGGCCTCCTTCTGCAGCCTATATAGCATTAATTTGTCTTGGGAATGACATATACCAGTCCTGCACAGTGGCCAGGGATTTTGAGCCATTCCTCTTGCAAAACAGTGGTCACTACATGATGCTGGTGGAGGGAAATGTGTCCTGACTCATTCCTCCAAAACACTCCAAAGTGGCTCAATATTATCCTGATTTGGTGACTGTGTAAGTCATGGGAGATGTTCAGCTTCAGTTTCAAGTTCATCAAATCACTCTGTCACTAGTCTTGCTGTTGGTATTGGTGCATTATCATTCCTATACACTGTACCACCTTCAGGGTACAATGTTTGAACCACTGGGAGAACATGGTTCTCCAGAATGGTTTGGTAGTCCTAGGCAGTGTCACAGCCATCTAGAACAAGTACTGGGCCTAGGGAATGCCGTGACATTGCAGCCCAAACCATCACTGATCCACCCCGTGGTGCATTCTGGGTATGCAAAAGTCCTAGTAGTAAGCTTCTTTGGAGTAAACCACTTCTCCACACTGTAACTTCCCCGGATGTATGAAACACAGTGAAGGTAGATTCATCAGAGAGCAATACATGTGTCACATTGTCCACAGCCCAAGTTTTGCACTGCTGGCACCATTGAAACCGACATTTGGCATTGGCACGAGTGACCAAAGGTTTGGTTATAGCAGCCTGACCATGAATATGTGCCCTGTGGAACTTTCCTTGAACAGTTCTGGCTGGAAACAGCGGAGGTGAGATGTCAATTTAATTCTGCAGTGAGTTGGACAGCTGTGGCTTAATGTTTTTTGGATACAATCCTGCTTCGTACCCGGACATCCTTTTCAGACAACTTCCTCTTGCATCCACAGTTACCCCTG